GGTTGCCAGGGCTCCTGGTATGTGTAACCAGGAGAATGAGCCAAAATGAGCATGACGACAGCCACCTGTTCTGGAAAGTAAGATGCACCCAGGGTGTCAGTTCATTAGCTCATTTGATGTCAGGAAAACCTTCCAGGAGGTAAGACAGGGTAGGGATAATACCCAGGAAGTGGTTTATCCTAGGTCTGGAAGTTATTTTACGTAACTTTGAAAAGGCTCATCCAAAGTATGTCTTTAGGCTACTATTTCCTTCCCTTTTCTGAATTCTGACTTCTGCACCTCTAAAATGAGGGCTCTAGATCAGAACAATTGCTTGAAAGCTTTTTTAGAGCAAAGGAACCCTTTTCTCAAAATCTGTAAAATATAAAACTGAAACAAGAACTCTCTAGGTTGAACTGGAGGGTGGTAGACCTCATTCCTTTTTGTTGGAAGGAAGTACCAGAATTATTTTTTTAATTTATTATTGAAATATAGTTGATATATAATGTTATATTAGTTTCAGGTGTACAATATAGCAATTTGACAATTTTATGTAACTGACGTGAAACAACTCCTTAGTACAAAGTGAGAGATAAGCCTCGGTGCTTACCGTAAGTATGGCCACCATCTATTACCATGCAATATTATTACAATCCAATTATTATATATATTAAAAGTATTTTTGACTATATTCCTTATGCTGAACTTTTTATCTCTGTGATTTATTTGTTTTATAACTGGAAGTTCACCCACCCCTCCCCCACCTCCCCTCTGGCAACCACCAGTTTGTTCTCTGTATTTAAGAGTTTGTTTTGTTTGTTCATTTGTTTTGTTTTCAGATTCCACATTAAGTGAAATCATGTGATATTTGTCTTTCTCTGTCTACCCAAGTTATTTTTAAGAGTTTCAGTGGTTGATGTTTTTTGGTGGAATGGAGAAGTGAATAAGACTTAGACATGATATAGGGCCTGCCCCACCAGGAACAGGCCCAAGACTGGCTTTACATTCTGAATGGGTGCACTTATTACTTATCTTAGACATCAGGTAGCTGATTGCAAATGTCTGTTGACTTATATGGTTGGGGAACCTCCCCTTCCCAAAAAAGGAAGGGTATTTTTAATTAAGGACCAGAAGGAAGGAGGGAAGGAAAGAAGGAAGAGAGAAGGGAGGGAGGAAGGGAGAAAAATTAATACTAACAGTTGAGCATTTTACCTTTTTCAAAGCAATTTTATGGATATTCATTAATTTAATCTTTACAATCTCTGTGAGGCAGGTAGAAATATATTTATTTCCACTGTAAAGATGAAGAGACTGAGGATTTGCAATGCGAATTGGGAGGAATAAAGTACCCTTTTAAATGACGAGAAGAATTGGGGAGTAGCCTTTGAAGAAGGATGCTGCAAAGTATTTTCAGACAAGGAAAGGGCATTGGGGAAGCATACCAGACAGAGAAACAGCATGAGTAAATGTCCAGAGGACTGACTATGTATAATGCAACTAGGAAATGAGTGTCCCCTGTGTGTTATGATATTAACCAGTGTGAACTGGTTGCCTTATGAGTCCAAACATATGGAAAGTTCTAATTTGAGGAATGAGGGAGTTTGAAAATAATTGGGAAAAAAAAAAAAAAACTCTGGAGGGAGGAAGGGAGAGACCACAAGTTGGGGCTGGTATTTATTTAATTTTATGCTACAAAATTCTATATTTTCTGGAAAACCAACAAGACACATGTTTGAATTTAACTTTTTAAATTGCAAAGTTAAGTACATGTTATTTTGGATTCTGAGTCCAAACATTTGCTTGGTATTTTCTACACATCTTTTCTGCTCCAATTGGAGCACATCAAAGTCCTGGTTTGTCTTGATGCTGGGCAGACTTTCTGCTGAAGGCTGTCTGGTTTTCTTAAAATGCCACCAGGAAGTTGGTATTGCAGGCTATGAAAAACAATGGAATTGACTTGGGGAGGATGTGGTGGAGAACTTGGGGAGGCCAAAGAGAGGAGGCAGTCTTTCTCTGCCATGGAGCCACTTGATGGCCTTGACAAGTTCTTCCCCTCTAGGCTGCAGTTTTTCTATTTGTAGAACGAACAGTTTGGACATTTGAGGAGTTAGGTAACATGGGGGGGGGCAGTTAAGTAATGATATTCAAAATATGTCCTGATTTCTCATCTCCTCTGTCATTACTGCTCTAGCTCAAGTCCTAATCATTCTGTCATGAAGATACTCCTCTCCTAACAGTCCCGTCCTTCATTTATGCCACCCTGCAGCCTATACTGCCTACAGCAGGCAGATTACTCCTTTTAAAATGAGAGTCAAATAACTTAATTTCCCTCTTTTCAACCCTCATACTTTCTGTTCTGTGTACATGCCATGCTGTTTCATATATTTTTCCATTTTGTACATCTAATTCCTTCTCCTGCCTGCCATTGTCTTTCTATCCACTTTCTATTAGAAAATATCCACTCATGCATTACAACTCAACTTAAAAGAAGGGCATTCCTCCAGGAAGCATTGTCTCAGCCCCTTCATGCTAAATGTGTTCTTCCCTCCTGTTACCTCTGAATCTCAATACCTAGCATACCCTCTAGCGGAGTTCTTTTCATGCATTCATGCAGTGGTATGATTGTTTACTCAGTTATCTACTCTACCAAATTAGGAACCCTGCCCCCAAAATAGGGGCTCATGTCATAATCACTGTTGTATTTTTAATGCTTGACACATTGTCATATAATAAATATTTGTTGATTTGAGTTTTCTAGTAAATGTAAATGAATGAACAAATAGTAAATGATGAGTGAAGTTTGATGATGAAGATGATATGGGGCCTTAGAGACAGAACTGCAGTGACGGTCATGGTGATAGTAAGTGCTCACACATCTTGGTGACTTCCCATGACAGAGAGGAAAGTTCAGCAAGAGAGCATGAGGAATGTCTTAGGTCCTGGAAACAGTTTTCAGTCAGTTTTCTACCACTGAATTCCATTTATGAGAAAACTCTGACAATGAGGGTGTGTGTGTGTGTGTGTGTGTGTGTGTGTGTGTGTGTGTGTGTGTTTCCTCAGTGGTAGAGTCATTTAAAGTGCATTTTTTAAACCAAACACTACAAGATGGCTCCGTTCTTAGGACAGCTCTTTTGTTGGACTTGTCAAAGTAAGCCTTGCAGTTCTGACAAGGAGAAGATCCTCCCTTCCTACCATGTGATCTTAATTGGACTCACTTATGATAAACAGGGCATGGGAAAAATTTGGTAAAATTTTTCTGCCTGGCGTATAGCAGGGTAATAAAATGCATGCTGTTGTATAAGATGCCTTTGAACATTCAGCATCCAGGGATGAGTAATGATTACATCCCTCTTCTATTCCTAGCTGACTCCTGGTAGAAGAAAAAAACTCTCTTTCAGCCTTTGCCCAATGTCACTTATTACTGCCATTATAAATTGAAAACATTTTTCTGCCATAAAACTCCCTGTGATGAATTGTACCATAGGCATTAGTGTTTTTTTCATCGTTTTCTTCTTGATGAGCTGGCAAAATAAAGAGAATAAAACGGGTATATTCTTTTCTTTTGGAGAAATTCAATCTCTGCAAACGACCCCCTTAAGACTCTCAATGACTGTTTGTATGGATTCTGATCTTAAAAAATCACCCAACTTGGGGGCTTGGATATGTGTATTATCATGCAGTTAGTTTATTATTGAGCAATAGTCTGTCTGAAAATGATTTTGAGGATGACTTCATTAGTGGAACTACAGAAGTCTCCCCTTAAGTGATCTGAACAAGGAAATTGAGAGGGAATTTAGGACTTTTATTTAAAACAATGCTATCTTGGGTCCTTTTTCCAATGCATCACGCCTCGTTACCTGAGCAGAAATACACTCTCGATTAACCACGTTCTGTCTTCTTTTTGAGTTAGTCCCACACTTGGAATAGAAGAAAGCTTGGGCTGATGTCCATTTTTAATACTTAGCACCAGGAATTGTATAAGGTGCTTCTTGTATCAAATCCTCATAACAGTTTTATAAGAAAATATTATGCACATTTTATAGATGAGGAAAACAAAGGTCAGAGCTTTTGAGCATTTGTGAGTAACCTGTCTGAAATAATACAGATAGTTTAAAATGAAGCCAGAATTCCAGAGCTCAAGCCTGTTTTTTTCCTAAAAGCTGTGTTCTTTCCTCTACAGTATGCTGCCTCCCACATATGATGCAATGGAATGGACCAAGCGATCAAATGATAGAATAATTTTAATATCATTGAATGATTTTTCTTTTGGATACTTAAATATGACATGATATGTAGGCTTTCAAAATGTGTTCAAATGTAGGCAAATGTAAGTTGTCTTTCTTTACCCAACTGGAAGAAGCAGAAGGCCTCTGCTAATATTGCCTTTGTCTTCAGACTGCATCATCTTTATCCAGCAGAGTAAAGACAAAACAGTATCTAATTCTGTTTAGGATTCTCTGTTTACATATTTCTCTCCCCACTAGACTATGAGCTCTTTGAGTGCAGGGATCTGGTTGGATTCATTTCTACAAGTCTTCAATGGATGTATACTTAAGGGATAGATGAGTAAGTGGATGGAGAAATTTCAGGTTGAGAGAGAGGGACTTTGAGAACATCAGAATTTAAGGGATGGGTAAATTAGGAAAAATGAGTGAAGGAGAGTGAGATAGAGCAGTGTCATTGAAGCCAAAGGTAAAGGGAGTTTTAAGGAGAGAATGGTGAAAAGAGTCAAACACCAAAATAGTATTTAAAAAACAAAGTGAGGATTTAGCATCAATAGAATCATTGCTTGGCTTGGTGAGAATGATTTCAGGGAAGGTGGAAGTAGTACCCAGTTTAAGGTAAGAAATCGGAGAAGTGGAAGCAATAATAACAGACAACCCTCTGGTGGAATGTATGTGAAGTGAAAAGATGTTCTGTTTACTTAGAGAAGATGTAAAAGGGAGGATTTTGAGGATTTCAAGTTGTGAGACTTGAAAATATTTGTGAATATATTGAACATATATTTTTCTGTTTCATAGAAAAAGCAAAAGGCCTGGGGAGAAGTGGAAAACATGAACTTGGATCCAGCCATAAAGCCTCTCATTGATAGCCTGGTATTCTGTATGTATATAGGCTTCAAGCCACCAATGATGAAGAACCTGCCCATTGCCCATATGAGATGTGGTCTGAAAGTTAGCCAGAGGCTTGTGTTTCATACATCCTACAGAAGACATATAAGGCCTCTGGGCATTTCCATAGCACCTCCTAAGGGAGTAGAATTATGATGTATATCTTTAAGCTTTGGCAAGACAAAGAATTCTCACAATACCAATAAAACAAGAACCAGTGCTCTCTGTTACCATTTTATACTCTGAATACCTATCTCTCTTATGATCAACAGAAGAATTAATAGAAATATCTTCAGAAGGTACATCCAAATGTCTTTCTTTTGATCTGACCACATAAAAAGGCAGATGTGTGTCTGTGCACGTGTGTGTGCATACGTGTGAGTGTTTAGAATTCAATTGTCTAGCTAACTTTTAATTATTCACTCTGTAAAAAATAGTACTACTCCAACTTAGGTGTATAACCTCAAATTGTCAGGACCTGTGTGGTACTTTAATGAAGACTAGGAGCAAAAGTTGCCATGTATGAGCAGACAGCTCACCAAATCAGACTGAAACCACTGCTACCACTACAGTGAAATTTGCCATCACAACCTCTCTCCCTTGATTCCTCTGCTCCTCCCTAGGACAAAGCCACATCAGACAAATCACCATTCTCCAAACATACTTGGTAATTGCAGACCTCTGAGTCCTTTATATGTATTTCCCTTTTTCTTGAAATAATGCTCATCTTTTTAACATTTCAAACTCCTCCTCATCCTCCAAGGTCTAGTATAAATGAAGCCTTCTCTGATCCCCTACTCAAAGAAGGGAGTTACTTTAACTCCAGCCCCATAACATGCCTGACATTTCCTAAATGTTACCTGATCTTGACAATTCTGTAGCCCTGCTTTTCTCAGTTTGGAATTTCTTTTTGTCTGCCTTTCATCTCCACCTGTTCACATCTTAAAACCTGAGAACATTAAAGCTGAAACAACTCTTAGAGATCATAATTTTTCAGATGGGGAAATTGAGTCTCAGAGAAGGAAAGCAACTGGTAAGCTAGCAGGACAACCAAAACTAGACCACAGGTCTCAAGAAGAGTAGAAGGGCAATGTCTTTTGAGTTAAAACAACCTGGGTTCAAACCCAGGCTCTACCATTAACAAACTGTTTGATTTTTTTCATCATCCTCGAGCATCAGTTGCCTTATTCTTTTTTTAATTTTTATAAAAGATAATATCTCTATGGTTGTGAATTTCATTTAAAATGCCTACCTTGATGCCTGGCACATGATAGATGCTCTCTAGTTTTACGTATGTATACATTTTCACTTTAGATAGGCAACGTGATATAGTCACATAATAATAAAAGGATTTTTGCAATAGGATTTTGCAACTGCCTATTATTTATAGACCTTGGACAAGTTACTGAACTTTTTATGTAAAATGGAGGGCTTAGTATCTATTTGTAGGAAAGAAATATGTGAGGATGAGCAAAAATTTGCATGAAGTACCTAATGTCTGTACATCAATGTATATCAGGCGCTCAATAAAGGTCCCTTATATCATTGGCATTATTTCTACTTTCATGATCTCATTTAATACTCACAGTAATTCTGTAGGATTCAAAGAGTAGATGTTATTATGTTTATCAAGAGGTATAACCAAGATTATGGGCTGGCAGCCATATTATGAAAACTCTGAGCCTTAATGACTGCTCAGAGTATGACACACAGACTTAGAAAAACCAAGGAATAGGCACTGCTCAGAAATCAGGCATGTGGGTGGGCTTCCATCCTCTGAGAGAACCAGGTGCCAAGACTGACTCAGGTATAGAAGCAGGATCAGTTGGAACTTAAGAGTTGGTCTGAAGGTATGAAAGTCCCAGGTATGAAGTCTTTCTTATCTACCTCCTCCCAGATAGAAGTGTCACTCTCTTATTTGAACCCTGCTCACACATGCCCTGGTTCCGTCACAGGAACTGTACTTCTTCTGTTCTTTCATGTGCTCCAATTCTGTCCAATTTGATTGTGAACTGCTGGGGCCTTTTATGATTCACATCTGGAGTCTCATTTACTAGCATACCCTCAGTGCTTAAACATAGTATTTTGTTGACTGTTACTTCACACAGAGCCCGACACATAGTAAATAAATACACAGTGAGTTTTCAGTAAATGAATGAATGAATCAAATGAAACAATATGTGTGAAAAGATTTTGTAAACTGTAAAATGCTGTTTGTAGGAGAGTGGTTATCAACAGTGATCATTACTAAGTCAGCCAGTAAGCTCCTTTGGACCTTAATCTGTTGTTCAAACCTCAACAGTTGGGCATTCAGGGCACAAAATGACCACATGGTGAGCCACAGAGGTACAGGCTGAGTCAGAAGGGATGCTATGAGGTCGTTTATCTTCCCTTCTCTGAAAAGCTCTGGTAAAGATCCCATCTTTCATGCCACCTGAAACCCCTGTGGGAGTTCCCCAGGAACATCATACAGAATACTGGGCCCACCTGGGAGCCATTATCCTGTGTGAGATGACAGGTCTGGAAAAAACAACATGATTTGTACACATTCCCAGCTGTCATTGAAGCTGCTGCCTTAATGGATTAATTAGCTCTCTGTGTATTAGTGCATGTATTGGTGGCTGAGCTGCTCAGCTGCTGATAGGCTTCCATGGACAGTCAAAGAGGTGATGACAATAATAACAGAAATAATAATAACAGCTAATATTCACTAAAAGCCTACGATATGCCAGATAATGTTTCAAGTACCTTGAATGGATTATTTTATTCTCATAATAGCTCATAAGGTATACATACTATTATTATCTCTATTCTACAAGAGGAAATAGTGGCAAAATCAGAACTCAAACCCAGGATGCTTAAATCCAGACTCTGTAAGCCAGATCAATAATCTTACCCCCAATATAAAACTGAAGAAAAAGAGGCTCAGATGTTAACTGGTTTGCTCATAAGGGATTGAGCCCCTCCAGTCCTGCCAAGTGCAGACCTGTGCAGAGAGAGTCAAGCAGATCCATGCATAAGTAAGTAGCAGGGCTTGAGCAACCCCGGTCCTGTATGACCTCTGGGAGCAAGGCAGGACTCCAGACTCAAAAGGACTGGGTACTGGGGGAAGGTCTTAGCTACAAGAACAAGGCAGGGTCCTAAGTGTCACAGAAACACAATGATTAGCAATAGGCTGACTTAGTACTGCTTCCCCCAAGTCACTGAACAAGTGCTCTTTCCATTCTGCTTTCTCTCTCTACACCCAACCTTCCCCTTCCCAATTCATTAAGAAAAAGAGTAAGGAAATGCACAATTACCAAGTGCATATTATTTGAAAGCATTTCTAATATGTAATTTTTGGTGATCTTCTAAACGATTCTGTAAAATACATAGTTTTATTTTTCTCATTTTGACAAAATTGAACTTAACAGTAGTATTTTGCCCCAAATCACACAGCTGCTGAGTATCTGAGTTGTGATTTTAACCTGGGTCTGTAGTACATAGTAACACTCAGTAAATACTTATTGAAGTGAGTGAACGAAAGAAAGAAAGGAAGAAAGAAATAACAAGGTTGGGGATCTTTTAAGAGCACCAAGTTGCTTTTTAGGATAATTTAAGGCTGTGGTTCTTGACAAGGGCTGCTCATTGGACTACTTACAAAAAATACCAAATTGCCTGCTTCTGCTTCACTGAATCAGAAGCTATGCTCAGGCATTGTTATGTATTTTTTTTTAATGTCCCAGATTATTCTCATGTGTAGCCAGGGTTGAGAATCACTGGTCTTTGGAAGGACTGGGATTTCTCCTTGTCAGACTTAGATGTGCAGAGCTTGTAAGTGGTTGTCAAGTGGCTCCTGCTCTTAGGGGAAGTAGGCTCTGTAGGCAGTGACCTTGGCCTTTGGGTAAGGTTTGTGCCACTCAGACTGCTGTTGTTCTGGCCTCTCTTGTCAAGCTGGTGGAATGTAGCTTGTTTGCCTGCCTTGTCCTCAGACTATTGTCACCTGCTTTGTCCTGGACTTGGCAGCATGAATTCCTTCCGTCTTACCAATGGCAGCTAATCCAGCACTGCCAGTAGCCTATTGGAATGCTACCTAAATTTCTCCTTTCTCAACCCTCCTCTGGCCCAGAATCCCCAGCCCTGAACTCACTGCCACCCACTAATCCACTTCTACCAGCAAAGAGCTCGCCCTTGCTCTCTTTTGTTTCCTTTCAGTATAACAGTCTTTATGTGTTTCTACTTCTTAGTCTTCTGTGACAAAGAAGGATATTGTGAAAATCAATTGCTTGGGTCAAGGAGAAAGTATTGATTCAGCTAACAGTGCTGATGCTTCAAATGAGTCAGATGGTGAGGAAGATAAAAATGACTGGCATTTCAGGGGCCTACTCTGCCAATTCCATGATACATACTTGAGAAATGAGCTCCCAAGAATCTTCCCTCCTGTCCAATTTTTGTGGCCTCTTGGGCCTGCCATTTTACTATCAATCCCACTTACCCTTACCCTCCTCTGCGCTACTGTAGTGCTCTGGGCATTCCACCAGAACTGCACATATGGTAGTATTGGTGTAATGCGCGCGTGCACGCGTGCACACGCGCGCACACACACACACACACACACACACACACAAACCAGACTGGGATATCCCTAAGGGCAGAGAATTACAAAGTATATTGTGTTATCTCTGTCCCCATTTCCCAGATCAGGTCCTGGTATAGAGCTGGTATTATATATGGTTGAATAGTAAAAAAAGGCATTTCACCAAATGTCTTCACAACTATTATTTTATATTGGACCCATGGCAATCTTAGAAGATAATGTTCAGGAATTCATATCCACATTTGGCAGGGGAAGCAGCTGATGGATTTTAACCCAGAACTGCTGACTCTATAGCAGAATATATTCTATGACAAAAGTGTTCTATGTCACCACTCTCCGTGATGAAGTCATAATATCAAAAACTTTTAACACAATTGACCACTCACGCCTTCTCAAATTGCATTCTTCCTTTGGCTGTAGGAAACCATTTTCTCTTAATTTTCTTTCCAGGTCACCTTTTACTGGTTCACTTTCAGTTCCTTAGCCTCTAGACACTGAAGTATCCTGGAGTTTGGTCTTGGAAGTTCTCTTTTTCTCAGTTAGTATTACATACCTGATGATTTCATCTAGTCTCATGGCTTAAAATACTATATATCAGCTGATGACTCCTAAACTCTTTGTAGTTTTTTTTTTTATTTGAGTATAGTTGACACACAATGTTA